AAGAGAGCTCGCGAGAACAGCTTAGGACCGTGAGACACGTTTCCTTATTGGGGATCGAAAGACCTCGAGAGCGAACTCCTTCGCGGTCGCGTATTCAGCTGCGATCCCATGACGATCTTGGCCGATTTCCCGAGACAAGCGCGAGAATGCATCGCGAGCCTTCGATCGAAGTACGATCTGATATAGAATATAACATAAATATTAATTATAACAAACTATATATATATATATATATATATAATATTTAATCGCACAAAGAAATTCATTTTAGGTTATAGATTATAACATTATGGTAATATCAGGATTATTTTGTAAGATTATTGGGTGGTAAGAATTTCAATGAAACACATATACAGAGAAAGGAATGTAAGAAAGCTGCCCTTCAAAAATTCCGGTCTTAACGAGGTACAACATTTAACGAATCCTTTCCAAGCTTCGTCTCTTCGCCGCAAGTAAATCGAAGATAAACCTCCGGGTTTAACCGGGGCTTAACCTATGCTAAAGCGCGCTAAACCTCCTAGACTCGACCACATGGACGGTTGGTTACATAGATTACAATGCAGTTTAATTGAGTTACCGCGCTAATGGCTGCAAACACCACCTGTCTATTCATTGGTTTTTTTGCGCCCTCCTCTTTATTATTTTTTTTATTGAGTTTTATTGAAAAAAATACATCGCTTGCATATCGCAGGAAATGAATTTAATCGTACAAATAAAAAAACTCCACTATATATCAACTCGCGCGCTCGATTCACATGATCGCGATATGAGTGGTTAAGTGTCCAAAGTGTCTAATACATGTGTCCTCTCTGATATTTTATTTAACACTTTATAGAGCACAATACAATACATGGCAGAAATATAAAAAAAATTGTACAGTTTATTTTTCCAGCGATTTAAATCCATATATATATATAATATATTTATTATATGTGTATTTATTTTTTTAACTAGAACTATTTCTAATATTTAAGATAGAGGAAAAGAGTAAACTCTCGAATTGTGTGTGCGCGTATTCGTCTCTCTCTCTCTTTTTCTCTCATTCCGTTACTCTGTATATCTAACAATAAGTCGTGCGTTAAAAGAGGGAGCAACTTTTATCGATATATCAATTAATCGTGCATTTCATTAAATATCTACTCGCCAATATTGTGAAATCGGGCGTGCGAAAAGTACGATGAACGGTTGAATTTCGACAGAACGACGCCGCAACGCGAGCGTCATCGTGTCGAACTGCCGAGATTATAAAACAATTGAATAAATCTATCCCCATTGGGGGGGCGACGTTCGCGGGAGAAAGAAACGTCCCGGCGGAATAGACAGAGAAGTGGAAGAAGAAATCTCTGAACTCCCCCTCCCCCTTCCTCTCGCCTATATACCTCATCCCAACTTCTCCGAGATTCAAATGGCCTCGTTTCAAATCGATTTCGAATTATCTTCGGCGAGCGGATTCTGGCGGAACGAGAGAAAAGAGGGTCCGCCGATCTAATGGAGGAAACGGTAGTGAGGTAAGAGGTATGAGAACGAAATGGCGGAGAGGGTAAGAGGAGTGGGGAAGAGGGGGTAGGGATAGAGGGGAGGGCGAGAAAAGAGTGAAAAACTTAAGGGACTTTTACTGGCCGAGAGAAAATGTTTGCCGGCGAGACAAAGACGTTCGACTGCCGTTTCTTCTCTGATTAAATAGGCAGGACCTATAGCTTTTTACGTAAATGCACTATGACAGGCGAGACTCTGTGAGATATTCTTCTTATAATCTCGTGCTTTCGCTCCTCTCTTTCGCGTATCGAACTTTCACAGCGCATTTCGACAAAGTAAATAGAGAATCAAAAAACAGAATAAAATAAAAATTTTTTTAAATATCTTGTATGTGTGTGCATACAGAATGTTTCCGAAATAAATGACTAAGGAGGAGATTCTACTCACCATAAGAAAGAAAAAAAATTATATGAATATGAGTTCAGAACGCTTCCTTTTTGAGTTATTTCTTGGATAAACTATCTAAGTATATAGGAGCTTATTTCCCCGTATTTAAGGCAATCAATTTAAATAAAATTTATAATTATTTTAGAATTTTTTTATTTTTTTATAAGTAAAATAATTGAAATACATTGTTAATTATTTTACTACAATCTGATCTAATAATTTCATCAAATTCTATATTTAAAATATTTAGACGTCTCTTGAGTAAGACGTCTGAAAGCATATCTCTAAAGGATTTCTTACATATTGTTGGATTCTCGATTCATATTTTATGTTAAGATGTTCAACTCTGAAATACCCTGAATAACCCTGAAATATGTATATACGTATATATATATATATATATAGGAGAAAAATTTTTATAGAAAATGACGAAACAATTCCATTATTGAAATTCAAGAATAACTTTCGATAATGCGATGGAGCCATGTTAATAACATTTTTTAATAATAAACTTTATAATTACACGTTGCGTGCGCGAATTTCACATCGCGCCAACAACTAGCCCGTAAATTAGGTAGTAGATGGCGGTCGCGGAACTTTCGAAGGCCCGGCCTGCCTCTCGCCTGATTAAGCGGTTCGGCCTGCATTTGGCAACGGCAAACGACGCCGGTGTATGCGCCGACTCTAGCTACTTGTTGGCCCTGACGTGCGGCTGTTCCACTACGCGAGTTCGTTCCCGGTTGCAAGTTTCAGCGGAGTACGATATTAGCACTAGCATTTGTTCCGCCTCTCATTTTGTCGCGAAAACACAGGGACAGAGTAAGACATAATATGCTGCTCACCCTTTCGTAGTTAATTAAACTGACAGATTTGTTATGACGACATGTAACCATGCGGCGGCTCCTTTTGCTACTCTACTGAAACTGTTTAAACCATATTTCCTCGCGTACCTCGGTACATCATCTCTAGATTATAATAACAGAATATATATATTAGTCTGTAATGTTAATGTAACACACGATGTTCGAACAGCAATTGACAAAATGGAATTCGATTTTTTTCTTCGCGAAAATGCTGAGAGGATTTGTCATCTGTTCCAATTTTTTTTCACGATCTTCAATATTTGATTAAGTTAAAAAGTAAAGTTATAATCGAATCGGAAAAGATATAATAAAAGAGGAGAAAATATATTTCTTTTTTATTATTTATTTTCTATCTCTCTATTATACAACGAAAATTCGCGATCGCTATAATCTCGAATAGCGGTGATATACCTTTGGATGTACGAAACACAGACATGCAAACAGTAATAGTCCTTTTCGTGCGCGCAGAGACTCTTGATGACCCTCGTTATACGAATACGACTCGTTAACTTGTTCGAGTTGTAACAGTGTTATATTGCACGTGCGGCAGTATTATGGGTATGTATATGCTCCTTCGTAATCTCTTGCAAGATACTTCCTCTCTTTGTCTTTCTCGCAGTCGCAAAAGTGCTCGGTCTACTCGATGGTGACATTCCTCAGGAGAGGGGGGGAAAAAAAAGAAATGACACGATAACGAACGGTCGTAACAGACAGGAAAACATCGCTGCGGTCGCGCTTATCTCTAATTTATCGTGAAATTAAAAAGTAACGAGAAATGAAATCGCGCGCTCGATCTCGCGGCGGGACAAGTCCTCTCGCGAAGAAAACAAAGTAGCTATTTCCCTCTTATTGTTAGACATCTGTCTGACAAATACATACGCCTTTTTTATTGTATTGCTATATTTTAGAGATTATATGTACGTTTGCTTTTATCGTAGTATAAGTAGAATTTATCCGAAACTTCTTTTTCTCTTTGCAGAATCAAATCCTGGCGCATAACACGTCGGCAAGGATCATCTGGTCGAATCAGAGCCTCGTCTTGCAAAGCGTGACGAGAAGCAGCGCCGGTCGTTACGTTTGCGCAGCAACGAACGACTTGAACGAGACGCGCAGCGAGCCGCTGCACTTTCGAGTTAAATGTAAGTAAAATAATTATTTATTTATTTATTTATTTATTGTGATGGGAAAGATAAAAAAACTCTTTAACGAATAAACACATGAAATGATTACAAGTGAGTCGATTATAGATTTATATGAAATATATAAGAAAAAATATGATATATTCCCTCTTCAATATGGGTCAGTATATTATCACTAATGAGCAGTGAAAAATATAATATAAAATTTAAGAAATATAATATATAATAAATAATATATAAAATATAGATGTGAATATAGAGAAATAATATTTTAATATTTTAAGAATTAACATGTAAAAAAATTTGTGAATATTAATAACTAGAAACTAAAGATAAATTATTGCAGATTTAAAACAAAGAGAAATATTAAAGAATATTTAATTTTACGCAGAGAACGATTGTAAATTATTCTCGACAAAAATGGAGCCTTTGGAAAAGAATGATAAGATAATCTTTCGTTATCGCACGTTAATATACACTGAAAAAATTAGAAATATAATGGAACACTACAAAATGTTTTGCGCTCGAGAATCGTTCATTCAATAGCAATCAGACCGACGATTTCTATTTTTGACCGATTTAATTTTATATATATATATATGTATATATATATATATTAGGTCTACCGGAAAGTTCTGTCCGTTTTTGGAATAAAACAAAATACAAA